TTCCTGAGCTTTCATGTTCTTGATAAAGAAACTTCTCTTGAACTGCTCACAGCAACATATGGCTCAAGAAACAGATTTTCCGAGTGCCGCTGCCATTTGCAAAGCAGGAGACAGCGTTGGATGTGCAGTCAGAAAGATCAGACTTGTTTTGGAAGAGAGAACAGGACCTGCTGTGGGCATCCTGCCTCCCAGATCTGTGCTTTCTGAAGTGCTGTTGTGCAGTCAGCTTAAACACCGCCGTAAAGAGCCAGATTCCTCTATCTCGGTCTGCACTGAGGAGCATCCTAGGTGCAAAACAAGGCACTGAGCAATGTCCCTCTGCGTGCTGTGCCCACTCAGCTTGGGTAGTGATGGGCTTGGGTCCTGGTGGGCAGCTTTCACCACAGGCTGAAGAGGTTTTCAGCTTTGATTTTACAAACGTAAGGGAGCGTGCCACGGAAGCAGTAGACATTTGAAGGATTAGGCCCCTCATAAAGATGCACGAACAAGTGCTGGGCGGCTCTGGTGCTCAATTAAGCATTCTTCGTCTTGCTCTTTGCTCCCCACATGCATGAAAGGCTGATTTATTTGAAATGAAATCCATGAAATGTGCTAATACCTTCTATGGTGTTGGTCAGGCTTAATGTGATAGTCTCCTCTCATTTTCGCTGATTCTGCTGAGCAATCTGACGCACTGAGAACTTTTCTTCTCATGAATAGCTATCATCACCCTCCAGATGCCTTTATTTAAAAATAAACCCACCACCAAATGGCCTGAAACAGCAGCTAGGGAATATTTTCCTGTCCTGATGGGCATGGCCAGTATTAGAGAGAGACTCTTGACAATAAATGTCTGTATGTTGAAAATGAATGGATGTTTCTCATATGGGCAGACCCTGGGTGGTGTAAATCAGCACAGCACTTTGAGGAAGGTCAGGTCCTTTCCTCACTCCAGGAGGAGCTCAAGGGAGCCTTTTCCTCATATTCAATCTTGCAGCTGGATTCCAGCTGTTGCTCCACAGGCACTTACAGTGTGTGGTCATAGCGTAACGCCATTCCACCTGTGGGGCTGTGGATCATGAGCAATTGGGTGGCAATGGGGAGGGAAAGGGAGGGAGCCTGGGGGGTGCAGTGGGAACAGGGACTTCTCAGACCCTGTGGAAGCAGACGGCATCTCCGCACTCACCGTCAGCTCGAGGGCTTCGTTCAGGAGGCCGTTGCGCTTGCTGTGCAGGTACGCGTTGGAGCTGCCCGTCTTGGCCACTCGGATCCTCGCGAGCCGGGCTTTCTGTGGAGAGGGCAAACAAGAGGAAGTTACGCCGTGGCACACCAGGGACTGGTCCTGTGCTGGCAGTGCCTGGAGAAGAGAATTTTGGGTTCTCGCTGTACCTGATAAAGCCTGGGGGTGCAATACAAGGGGTGCACAGAGAGGACGAGGTGCTGTATCTCTGCAGAGCAGAGCATTAATGGCACTGCCAGAGATGAGAAGTGGGGTACTGTGGGTTTGTTCATCCTTTCAAAAGTTAAGTAAGTTTTTGGGCTGAGATGCACTGCAGCTGCAGACTCTTGTCATGGACGTGTTCCTGGCACGGGTGACCGTGTGTGATCGAGTGGTGTGCCCATGCTCTGCGTCCATGGCTCATCTCTACCTGGGGTGCTTGGTTGGTTAACCCTCCCCTTCAGCTCCGTGCTTTGTCCCCTGCGCTGTCCCCGGCTCTGCCTGCACACAGTGGCCGTGGTGACACCCGGTCGGGGCTGTGCACTGTCCCCTGCAGTGGCAGCGCCAGTTCAGTGACTCTGGGGTCTGACAGTGTAAGACTGTCCAAAAACACACATCTCTTGTCCAACTGACAGAAGTCACTGCAACAGCACAGACGTTCAGCTCCCCTCATTTTTATTTATCCCTGACCTTCTTGACCTCCAGGGGATGAGTTAGATGGTAAAAAGCCATCCAGAATAAAGCAAACATGAAAAGCTAACAAGGCCCTCTTCTTTTTTGATCACACACCTTTTAGCATTTCAGTTTTCCCTTTCAATTGCTGCCTGCTTCTCTGTCAAGTGCTGATTTGCCTTTTTCTTTTCTACTGTTAATTTATGACTCAAACACCATTAAAAGTAAATACATGAAATAGCTCTGGCTATTAAAAAATAATTACATTGTGCTGTAGTTTAAAATGCTGCATAATCTTTTAAATAACATGGAACTCGTGATTTTCCTTTCTAATTAGAGGTGCTAATGGGCATACACTGTTGGAAGAGTAAAGCCAAGAGGCAAATATCTGCAGTGGGTCCAGAGAGCACAGTAATTCCAGGAGCTCTATTACCATACACGCATGAGCAGCTCTGGCCCTCAACATTTGAAAGATTTGTTTAACCTTAAGAGCTTCTGCTTAAGCAGACAATTTCTCAGGCAAAGACCTGCACAGGATGCTGGTCTGCAGCTTTAATTAGGTGACACAGACTGTGACCAGTCTGAAAAAATAGGTCTTCCTTTGACACCCCAGAATGGGGACATCCCAAATTGACTTTATTTTCTAGACTTCATCTAGATTTCATCCATTTTAACCTTAAGACTCCCAGCCCATGTATGGTAGTGAAATCTCTATGAAACTTGCTCTGTACTGGGGCCGAGGGATCTCGGGATCCCTGGTCCCGCTGTGAAGGAGGGATGAGCTGTGTTTGCAAGATGTAGACTGAGAACGTGACGGGAAAATGAAATTGGCTCTTCAGTTTTTCTGAGGGCTTTCCCCAGAGTGCCGTGTGCTTTAGGCCCTGAGCAAGACTGGACTGAGAAGATCTGGAACAAAAGCTCCAGAGACCACTGCTACTGGAGATGAGTCTGGGGAGATCAGGGGATAAGGGGTGAAGGACTCTCCATTTCCCAGTTACGTGGCATTGTCTCTCTGTTCCTGGTAATTACATTTCCATTAAATTACTTCTCCCATTTGCAAGTATGTGCCTTTGCGTCTCTGTGCCTTACTTTTTGCAATGATTTTTCTTTCTTCTGTAATCAGGACTGGATATGGGGTCCAGGGATGGTGTCTTCAGTGGGGCTCTGATGGCCACCCCAGCAGACTCCATGTGTGCCTGACAAAACCCCAGCAGACTCCATGTGTACTCCCCTCTTTGCTGCAGGGGCTACCAGAGCCCCCCAGTCACCCCCTCACCAACACCAGCAAAGGCTTCATCCCCCTCTTGGGCTCAGGCAGTGGTTTCAGTGGATTCGGTCCTAGGCTCTTGTAATGAACATTATTCCTTTGCCTCCAGGCTAGCGGGGATCAAATATTAATAGCTGTACTCCACATGGACTGGAGATGGTTCGTTTCTGAGGTCTGTTCTCTTTTCTTCCCTGAAACAGGGCCACTAGCTATCTAAATAATTAAGCCCCATAGCTTTTGTAGTTTAGAACAGACGTTGTTATTTTAAAAAATGTCAGTGGGGCAGGACAGAAGTTAATCCTATTCTCCTGACACAAAAGACTGCCTAGGATAGTCACACTGCCTAACTCTGTGCCCCCATCGTGATTAAATTCGGTAGATATCTTGATTAACTCAGCTAGAGAAGTTAATTAAAATGGGTGCCTAAAATTGGTTTGGCCCTCCAGACAGTTTCACTCATTGGACTAGAAACAACTCTGAAACCATAGCTCGTGTTTTCTGTGAAAGTCTGTGTGTAAATGTGCATTATTTGGAAAGCACAGCTCTCAAGTGACTCCAGCTTCACCTGATGTTTAGGTACGTGTTGTATGTTTACATGGGTGTAGTACCCTGATCCTGTCTGACTGCACAAGGGGTTTAAGTGCATTTCAGGGGGAAATTCAAGTTTTCTGCGTCTCATCCCACAGCTGTGGCAGACTAAAGGTCATTAGGACCAGGCCTGAGATCACCGTTACTGAATATAACCCCTGCACGGAGAGGCTAAAAAGGGAAAAGAAAGCGGCACACTGTGTCTGCATGTAGAGCGGTGAGAGGAGTTGCTAGGAAACCACAGGATCTCAAAATGCATATGACCTAATCTGGAAGATAATTTATATGATGAAAATAATAATACTAATGACAGCCACTTACAGGTTAGAATGATTAATTTGGTTATCTTGGAGCCCACGTGTTTCTGAGCGCGGGGTGGAGGCAGCTCTCGGTAACTGCTGGCTCCTTGCTGCGTTTTGAGAAACTCTGCTAAGCTGAGGGGCAGTGAAGCCCTGTGTGGGGAGGTGGCGGTCGCTGTCCCCATCCTGGCTATCCACGTTTCCCACAGGGATGGACAAGGGATAAGGAGTAGCCCATCTTCATCTTTCAGCTGCTTTGGAGAAGCGCAAGGAGCAGGAGTTGCTGGCAAGGAAAACTGCTTACCAGATGGCAGGCCCAGGAAACAGCTAATTATTATTTATTAATGATTTTCATCTAGTTCTTATGGAGATAATGTTCACTCTTGATCTGTGTGATAAAATAAACTATTAAGTTACAACCCATGACATAATTTCATATTTGCCAGACGTCTTCAGCTTTCCAGATCCTCCGCCCTTGAGCGGGGAGATGAGTGGAGCACACGTGTGTCGGGGGCTGCACCCTCCCTTCAGGTGTTTATGTTCATCAATAGGATCATAAGAATAGGATCCCTCTGAGCCTTCTCCAAGCTAAACAGCCCCAGCTCTCCCAGTCTCCTGTAGGAGAGATGCTCCAGTTCATGTCCAACCTTATATCCTACAGCCTCACTAAGAGCATTCCTGGTGGAAAATGCAGCTACAGCAGGCAATTAACAGAGCTTCACATCTTAATTCCTCAACAATTAGCAGTTTGAATATGAATAGACCTATTGGTGACTGCTGCAGGGGTGCAGAGGGATGTACCGCTGGTCTTTTAAGGCTGAAATGAAGCTGTTCTCAAAAGTAATTGAGTACTTCTGAGCCGAGTTTTATTTTCAAGGTAAAAATACCACAGCCATTCAGTCAGTGCTTGATTTTCTTGTATTTGTCTGCACTTGTTGCTAGTTTGGGTCTGGACTTAAATTCTAGGTGGAAAGAATGTGGTGGATTTCAGGCTGTGGAAAAGACAAGCAGCAGATTGTACACTCGACAGGAGTTTCTGCAGCCTTAACAGGGCTTAGAGTATGCAATGATAAATAAGTATTTTTTTGTAGTTATGTTTTCACCTTCCGAAAATGATGTCATTTGTGGTACCTTTGGTTAATTTTAGCATAAAATTCAGAAAGGAATTGAGCAGAGATTTCACTTTGTACTTACAACTGGGAACTTGGAGCACATATGTAATGGAGAGGGAATGGATGAAATCTTCATCTGGTGGGAAATCGCTCAGCTCCCCGGGCTGTTGTGGTAGCTTTCCTTTGCCAAGCAGCAAATGGAAAAGTCTTCATTTTTTAAAAAAGCATTGAAAAATAATAGAGTGGACAAGGAATTAAAGGGATCTGCTGTCTGTGGGGCGCTTTCCTCAATACACCAAGGTGATGCTGCTCATCTGTCCTGCTTAGGGCTCTGGGCAGCTGCTCCGCCATCCCCAGCAAAGCCTGGACAAAGACTGGGCTGCAAATCAGGACTCGAGTTATTACACGTGTTTGAACACCGAGTGAAATAATGGCTGTTTAAAAAGCAAATGGCCCATATAATAAGTACAAGTCGTTGTTATTCTGGCCGTGGTTTCTTCTGGCTGTTGAATGGGCAGCGCAGTTACGGCACTGTTAGAAAAGTTCGTTTCTGCAGATCATCTTTCTGTCATTTTAACCTTTTTCCTAAAAAAAGTAAGTATGCACGTTGTGACTTTCCTTCCTCTCAAATCTTTACATTAAACAGCTTTTGAGCCAAGCTTAAATATTCTGTCACTTTTGCTTTGGGTGAGATGTTGTAGAGCTGCGTATGGAAATGAGATAGTGTAGAACTCATTATATTCCTATATAATTTGATAGAACCACTTACAGTCAGACCTTGATCTTATTTTGGGCCTCTTCATTACTTTCCAGAGATGAAAGATTCCCCTCCCCTCCTCTGTGGCTCTCCTTTTAATCCTACCTTACCCTTGGCACCATTAAAGCAACAGCACATCATCTCAAATGCACTCCATCGTTTAATCTTCGACGCTGCAGAACACGATGTTCGCTCTATTTATAGAACAATGCACAGAATATGGAGTGTAATGGATCTCGGCTCCTCTGCTCGTCACAGATCTCCTGGCTGATTAAGCACAGGACTTTGAGACAGGAGTCACAATATGCGGAACTTGCAGAGGGAAATGTGGGGTGGTCAGGATGGCCCCGGAGCTCCGAGACCGGTCCCCTCCT